AAATGGACATCTGAGATCAGTATGCACTTCTCAGATGAAGAAATACAAATGACAAATATAAATGAAAAGTGTTCAATATTATTGGGCATTCAAGAAATGCAAATTAAAACACTGAGTTTGCATCCCACACCAGAAAGAATGGTTATCAACAAGAAATCCAACAATAACAAATGCTGGTGGGGCTGTGAGGAAAAAGGAAACCCTCTCCATTATTGCTGGGAGAGTAAACTGATGCAAGTACTATGAAATCAATGTGCTGATTCCTCAAAAATTAGGATTAGAGGTCCTATTCAATCCAACTATTCCCCTTCGGGGTATTTTCCCAGAAGAATTTAAAACATCATATCACAGATATACGTGCAATCACATTTATGGCACCATAATTTATAATAGCTAAATCTTAGAAACCACCCAAATGTCCACCAACCAAGGAATGTATTTTTTAAAACGTGGAGATTTATACTCAACCATAAAGAAGGATAGACTCAAGGCTTTTATAGGGAAATGGATGCAACTAGAGACTATATTCATAAATGAAATAAGTGAGACTCATATATGCAAACATTGTATTGTCTCCATAATACAAGAAACAGAAAAGTAAAGAAGATCCAAATTGTACAATAGATATCATAAAAAGGGAAGAAACTCCTCAAAAAGAAAGAACTGGGATAGGAGAAAGGAGAAAAAGAAAGGGAAAGAAAATATATATACAAGATAGCTATTTCAAAAATGCAGGCCAAAAATGGGCACCTGAGTAGTATTAGGAATATACAATTACAGTACTAATTTTTATTAGTTCATTGAAAAGAACGAGTAGTGCTTAAATACTTTGATCAGTTTTGCATACCTATTTCCTATAATTTGAGCAATTATTTGAAGATAACCATATGCAATATATTAACCATTGTCAGCCTCCTATTATTTTGTTTTGAAATTCTGCATCATTGCTTCTTCTCTTTAAAATAAAAAAATTCTTAAAAACCCACTGATTGTGCTAGCTACCCAATGTGAGTTGGAAGACAACTGCACAGTAATATGAGATAGCACTGAAAACTGTGGCCCTTAATAATAATTTTTTGCCAATTTCAGAAACTGGCACATTCCACTACCAGTTAAGCAACCAAACTCCCACATGTGCACTGATGTCCCACAAAGGCTAAGAGATAAATGTTCATGAGCCAGTGCCAAATGGCACGTGGCGTGTATGGTAAACCGCTTGCCTAATATTCCCGAGAAGTGTCAACTGTGACAGGACTATCACTGAAGACTGCTGCAGCACAAGCAAATACCTCCAGGAGCTCGTGGGACCAGGATGGACCCAAAACCTCATAAGGCATCTGAGGCAGCTGTGGAGTAGAGTTCTTCTGGGGAGCATTGGACCCATCTTCTCCACTCACCTTCTCTGCCTCCACAGAACTGAACCATAAGGCAGTGAGACAGCGAGCCCTGTGTCTCATCCCTGGTCTCCTCCCAGCCCTGGAGGTCTCTGAGTGGGGTAAAAACAGGTAACAAACCAGGAGTCACGAACTAAGAACCCAGCATCTTCTCACCTCCACAGATGACCACTTCCTTCATGGACACACAGGCTGACACGGCACAGTGAGAAGTTATTTCAATGGCATTGACCTGATGGCTGGATGCGTTCCCGTGTGGACACCGGATGGAAGAGAAAACAGAGGAAATGTCCAAAAGAAACAGAAACAAGAAAGTGACCATGAGAAACCTCCAGGTGACAGTACAACTGGCATTCCTGCCTGTGACCAAGGTATTTCTAATTGAGAAATTGCTTCCTACATATTTTTCCTCCTAAAAATATGATTGTTTGTTTACAGGATAGTTAATGACTCTCTTCAACCACGTTGGCTTCTATGGAAATACCTAGGTTTGCAAGGTCTGAAGTACTCGGGTATTTTAACATAAAAGAGAAACAGTGTGAAGATGAAGATAGTTAAAAAGAAGAGCCCAAGAAGGAGTGGGACAACCTGCAAGCAGCTCATCTTGCTAAAATCTAATGACTCATCTATGCTAAGGAGAAAGTGATGTTCAGCACATATGAATATCATTTATTTCTTTGTCATTGAATTAGGATATGTTTGCAATGCGTAACAATTTTATGATTTTTTGAAAATTGCAGCCAGAGTGTATAATCAGAAAACTTAGGGGTAGAAATTAGGTAGGAAAAGAAATCAGGAGTTGTTTAGTATATCGATGTTCATATAAAAGACAATAACTGGTTGTCTGGCAAGAAAAACAAACAAGAAATAAAATGCCTGGCAGGCATGGTGGCACATACCAGTAATCCTAGCACCAGGAAGGCATAAGACTGGAGGATCTCCCAGAATTCCAGCTACAGAGTTGAAGCCCAGCCACTTAAACTACTACTAGCACAATGAACTACTGTCTAGAAAAAAATAAAATAAAATAAGGAGGCCCTGAAATGCTTGAGGTGATTTGCCTGGGTGAAAAAAAGTCTGAGTCAGAGGCTGTCACCAGTTGCATGAAAGACAAATTCTGTCCCCACTTCTTGCCTGGTCACAGCTTATGGTGCACTTAGATCTTTGGGAGTAGTGTCCCTGTGAGCCTGACTCGGGCAAAGCTAAGTGAGCAGCTTGTTTGCCTGGTTCTTTCCAGTCCAGAAAAACAGGGTTTGAAGCCCACACGGGCTGCAGAAGAGAAGGGCCCAAAAGTACCTTAGGTGCATGACTCCAGGAGCTCAGAGAGGGCGACTGGAGCTGCCAGCCAGTGGCATCCTCTGCAGCAACACAGCCTCTGAGGAAAAAGTGCATACAGGAAGCCTCAAGGCAGGCCTCCAGGACCTGCCACAACTGGAAGGATCCCCAGGGAACCCGAGGAACATGCTGGGCCAGGGAAGCACATGGAGAGGACTCCAAGAAACTCTGAGTCCTCAAGGCCCAGGAGTCCCCAGATCATCTGAAACTTCTCAGAGGCGCACGGGTGGAGTATCCACAGGTGAGGTCATGAGTCAGCCTCTACATCCCTCAACCCTCCCTGTTGCAGGGACACAAGGCGACTCCGGACCCCTGGACTTCCTCCCCTCCTTCCACCAGGCTGCTGGTACTGTCAGATCCTCTCCAAGCCATCCCCGAAGGTGAGAACAGGAGCACTGCTCTGTGCCACCTCTGCGTGTGCCCAGCATACTTGGCTCCTTTCCTGTGGACCAGGTCACCTCAGTCCTGGCCCCCATCCTATCCCAAAGCCCAAGAATCAGCAGAAATCACAGCAGTAGGGGATGGAGACTTTGTGGGACCAAGCCACAGATAATGTTAGCAGTCAGGTGAACCAGGAGCTGCCTGTACCCTGCCTGAGCTCCTGGAAAGTGCAGTCTCCAACTCTGAATGGGACTCTAAACCAAAAGGTCTTGGGCAGCCCAGGCCTTGCCCAGTGTGTTATAAACTCTCTTCCCATGATATGATCTCTATTATTTCTTTCACTATACTGACATTGGGTTTTTTCTTTGCTCAGTAGACATTTTTTTGTCCCCTTGATACATATGAGTCCTTCTGACTTCCTAGGAAGCAGAGCACACAGGACGTTTTTCTGGTGTTCCAGTTACATCCAGTCTGAGTCTACTGATCCTTTCCTCTGTTGCATTTCCTGGAAGTTCTAGACTTTCTTTTCCTAATCTTTATTTTTATTAGTACATGTTTACAGTACAAAATGATCACATTCGTCATAGGGAGCATCTGCCTGTGCAAAACATCTGTTAATTACCCTTTCTGTATCATGCAGCATAGGTTACAGCTTCCCAAGCTAACAGAATTCCTCCAGTGTCCTTAGAAGGAAGCTGAATAGCACCAAGTCCTGGAAATACCAGTTACCAGTTAGTAACACTGCAGGACATGGCCATGGACCCACAAGCTCCTAAGACATCTGTGGCATCTATGGGGTAATGTTCTTCTGGGAACCATTGGGGACCCATCTTCTTCTCTGCCTCCACAGAACTGAATCACAGTCACTGAGTGGTGGCTCATTGGGACCTGTGTCTGGTCCCTGGACACCTCCCAGCACTGGAGGTCTCTGAATGGGTAAAAACAGATCATAAACCAAGAGCCAGGAACTAAGAACCTGGCATCTTCTCACCTCCATACGTGACCATTTCCCACATGGACACACAGACTGGCTGCCTAAGAAGTTATTTCAATAGCATTGACCTGGTGATAGGATGCTGGCCTGCATGGACACTGAATGAAGATGGAAATGTCCAAAAGAAACAGAAAAAAGAAAATGGACATTATTAGAAGCCCCCACAACTGGCATTTCCTGCTTGAGGCCAAGGATTTTATAACTAAGAAATGGTTTCTTGTGCTTTTTTTCTACTGGAAACATCATTGTTTGTTGACAGGATACCTTAGTACTCTTCAAACACCTTGGCTTCTAAGGAGACTGCTTGTAGGATCTCAAATACTTAGGCCTTCCACATAAAAAGGGGAAGTGTCCAACCATGAAGATACTAAAACAGAAGGGCCCAAGAAGGAGTGGAACAACAGGCACTAAGCTTGTCTTGCAAAACAAGTCTGATGATTCATTTATGCTAAGCAAAAACTTATTTTCAGCACCTACAGTTATCAGTTATTTCTTTTTTCATTTCATGAGTGTACCTTTGAAATGCATAAAAAGCACATAACTGTTTAAAAACTGCAGCCAAACTCTTATTCAAATAGGGCAGTGGTAAATTAAACAGAAAAATCAGGACTTGTTCAGTATATTGATGTTCATATCAAAGACAACAACTGGTTGTCTCCCAAGACAAGCCAAAAACCAAATGCCTGGCATGCACGGTGCCCTGTGCCTATAATGCCAGCATTCCGGAGGCCTAGGCAGGAGAATTTCCAGGAATTCCAGCTGCAGACATCAAACCAGCCACTGAAATTCGCAGCAAGTAACTACACCCCTCCTCCTACAATGGAAGCGAGCTGCGAACTGAATCAGAGGCTTTTAAAACACCCGCGGGAGTATGACGTTTTCTGGCCCGCCCACACCGCCCACGTAGAGTTGATCGCGGCGCGCGGGCTGACTGGCGAAACTCCTTGATCAGCTGTTCTCCTGGCTGTGTGGCGTCCAGAAGAACGGAGTTTGAAGCGCACGCGGGTTGCAGCACAGAAATCGGCCCAAGGTACAGCAGGGGAGTAGGGAGAGGGCGGCGGGAGAGGGCGGCGGGCTGGGGCCCCGCGGCAGCCACCGAGCCGCTGGACCGGGGCGACCGCGCCTACCGCCAGGTCCGCGCCCAGGAACCCTGGAACCGTGCGGGGCTGGGGAGCGCGAAGAGGACCCGCGGAAGCCAGAGTCCCCAACCCCGGAGTCCCCGGATCTCTGCAACTTCGGGGAGGCTCAGGGGGAGTATCCACAGGTGGCGCCGCCGGTCCCAGCGCTGCTTTGAGGGATCCACTCGCGACCCCTCTGCCTTCCTGTCCCCACAGGACCCATGGCCCCCGCCACGATCCTCTACTTCCTCCTCACCGTCCTGACCCGGCTGCTGCAACTGTCAGAGCCTCTCCCGGCGGCCGGTGCCGGTGAGTCACTGCGCTGGGCCAGGAGACCTCTCGCGCGCCCTGCTCGCCAGGCTCCTGTCCTGGGGACCATGTAACCTCAGCCTTGCTCCCTGCCCCACCCCGGGACCGCGGAGGGGTGGAAATCACAGGAAGCAGGGGATGGTGAGGTTGCGGGGCTAATCCTAAAAGGAGATTGTTAGTGGGGTGACCCGCGGGCTACCAGCAAGAGACCTAAACTTGGCCTTCCTTTTCTGAGGGGAGCACAGAAAGATGGTTAAGTAGACAGGAATCCACCAATTTTCTCTGAAATCTTTTCAGCTTTGCAGGCCACAACAGCTCCCTCTGAGCCCCACTTTCAGTGTGAAGGCAGCTGCAGAGGGCAAGCCACTGGACAGGAACCAGACTTGACCACCTCCTGGGTTTATCTACCTGAAGAATCACCTAACCTACTGATTTTCTAGTCTCTCTTGTCTTTCTTTCTGCTCTGATCCTTATTACTTGTTTCACTATATTGATGATGCATTTTTCTTTGCTTGCCAGACATTTTTCCCCCCCATGGGGGGACCAGGGATTGAACTCAGAACCTCACACTTGTGAGGAAAGTGCTAGGACCACTGAGCTAAAATCCAGGCCCTCACCAGACATTTTGAGCAGACTGCACAGGACATTTATTGAGTGTTCATGGACATAACTTCCACTAGGACCCTAGGTACACTTTCATCTGCTACATTTTCTGGATTTTCTTATGTGTTGTTTTGGTACTGGAGATCCAACTCCTCACCTTTTGCTTGCCAGGCAGACACTTGGGCCACTGCTCTAAATGCCCAGCCCTACATTTACCTTTTCTAAATTTTATTTTTATTAGTACACCTTTACAGAACTAACTGATCGTATTTCTCATGGGGACTAGCTGCCTATACAAAGCATGTCATAATTGCTGTTCCTGTGTCATGCAGCACAGGTTACAGCTTCCCAAGATAACAAAAGCCTCTCTCCTACCACAGTAGTGGCCCCTCCCACTAGTCAATGGAAACCCCATGAACCATAATCATAAACTGGACCTCTGTGTCACTCCTGACTCCCACTCTCACCCCAGAACTCAGTGCAGTTCAGTATACTCCCCACTTCCCTAAAGCTCACCCGGGTGGCTTCTGAAGCCCTCTGCCATCCTGGTCTTTCTTCCAACCAGGTCAAGTGGTCATGAATGGGAGTATCAGTCCCCTGGGCAGAGGGAAGGAAAACCTTCTTCTGGGACATGCAGCTGCTACCAGGGAATGTCCTTTCTTCCTCAAGCAAGGAAACAATGCCAGTTTTCTATTGGTGGAGGACAGCACAGTGTGGGAAGGAGCAGTGGTCCTGCCACCTCAGCCCTTCAGAGAGAGTCTCTTCCCCTCACAGATAGTATTAGATGACAGATGGGTCCATTCCTTCCTCACCTCTAATCTTTCCTTATGCTTTTCCCTAACAGGCACTCACTGTCTTGTCCATGAATTCATCATCAATCCTAAGCCCCTGCCTGGACAGCAACAGTGCAAAGTCCAAAGTCAGCTGGATCAGAGGATCTTTCTTTCCTATGACTGTGTTGGTGCCATGGCCATATCACCGGATGTCCATGCAGGGAAGCTGAATAGCACCAAGTCCTGGAATGACCTGTTTAAAACACTGCAGGATTTGATCACAGAGATTAAAAAGCTGTGGTGGGACATTAAACCAGAGGAATGTGCATCCACAGGTAAGTTGGAATACTCCAAGACAATGAGAGAGGTGCTAGGGCTTTGGGGATATTTATCATATTTGTGGGGTAAAGAAAACAACCGGAAATTAGTCTCATCAAGGTTGGATGTCGAGGAAAAACATGGAAAGATTAGTAGATCACAGGAGGTGGGCATTGGGTGGGGGCCAAGGATTTCTCAACAAGAGAGGTTAATCTCTTTCCATGGGGCAAATCGCTGTTTCTTAGTGGCCAGGATGACCTGTTGTCAGAAAGCTGATGGAAACATCCTCGGATTCTGGGAATTTGGATGCAATGGAAAATTTTTTCTCCGTTTTCACTCAAACAATAAAACATGGGAAGACCTCCTTTCTGGATTCAGCTCCATGAAGGAGAAGTTGAAGAATGTGGAGCTGAGTGAGTTGTTATACAGGACATCACTGGTCGACTGTGGAAGTTGGTTAAAGGAATTCCTGGAGCATTCAGAGGAAAATCTTGAGACCACAGGTAACTGGGAAGAACATGAGGAAGGTGTTGCTCCCTTCAGATAAGATGCTCCCCATTGCCTATGTGTGTCTGCGTGTGTTCCTGTGTGTGTGTACCTGTGTGTGCGTGTAAATTTTTCATCTAGAACGATTAGGAATGATTTCTCCCTGGGAAATTGTGCCCTGTGTATTCTTCCCATCTTTTCCCTTCTCATCTCCTAACGTCGCCTGCGCACTGCACATAGCTTTGATGCATTCACCATGGGTTTCTTGCTGACCTCCACACTGAGGACACCATTCTCTCTCCAGGCTTCCCTTGGCATCATTTTCTTCTCTCATCTCACCTGGCCTCTTTCTCTTTCAAAACCACCTCACAGGTCAGCTCCTGAGACCATTCCCTACCACTCTGATCAGGAATCACTTCCTCTTCTGTCACCAGCTAGGATGGGTTACATTGTGACCCTGGCTGCTTGCCTAAATATGTCACTAACCCCAAGGACCTCCTTCTCTTTCTTTACCCAGCTCAGGACCTGTCACAGTGGCTGCCACATAGCACAGGGGTAGAAGCTGTCTGCATGGCTGGGTGGGCTGAGGTAGCTGGAGCTGAGGGGGCATCTCCTCAGATGTGGGGTCCTGACAAATGCTGATTCTCTCCTGTTTCCATCCCAGCACCACCCACCACCCTGGCTGCAACTCTACCCACTTCAAAGGCCACCAGGCTGAGCCACAGGGCCCTGCTGCTGATCCTACCCTGCTCATTGATTCTTTTGAATGTTGTCTGATTGTATAAAGAATTAAATTATTTTAGTCTGTCTTTCAACATTATCTTCTGACAATTAAATAATGAGATTCATTTTGAAACAAACACCTTAATTAGTCTGCAATTTTGTTTTATGCTTGATGTGGTGCATAATTTTATGTGTCTCCCTGAATGCCTGATAAGTGACAAAACATCATTTCTAATGTGTTTGGAAGAGAGTTCCTGGAAGACACTCTCATTCAAATGACCAGACTGAAAGACTGACTACCCCAGCACAGCAAGAGACCACAGTGCCTTCCTGGGAAGCAGCACAAGCTGCAGCTGTGCCAAGGGGAGACTAAGTCAGTGTCTCCAGTGAGCATGCTGAGAACCAAAAGTCTGCTGTACACCACCCACACCCTGCTGGCAAGTGGATAGTTTTGAGGACAGCGTGAGTTGATAGCAACAAAGGTACATAAAGCAACTAAATGCTTGTACTGCTGATTAGGTTGATTATGCTGACCTGGGGCCAGAGGTCTGAGCATCTCTTGGAAGGATGATATTATGCAATATAGCAAATGTGGGGAATCTACTTTCTTGGCTTTGAAGGCCAGTAGTGTTTTCACTCTTTTGCTTCGTTCTGATTAATTGTTTTGCTTTAGTCAATATTCTGCTTTGATTGATTTCATTGTGTTCTTTTTATGGTTTGGTTTTAATATACCTGACTGAATGGACAACTATTGTGAAGTTAACAAGATTTTCTATGGGAGCTGTTCTTGCTAACCTGGTATCCTGCTCTGAAGTTTTGTACTAATTTGTACTAATTTCACTGTATTGTTTGATTGGTTTTGTTCTCTCTTGTTTTGTTATAATTAACAACCTTCAAAATAAGATGTAAAAAAAAAAAAAAGAAAGAAAGAAGCTGGGGACAAAATCCACCTTTCAAAGATGCATCCCCAATCATTCACTTCCTCCAGCTAGGCTCCACCTCTCTCCCCATCATAGGTACATTTCACACATCTTGCCAGCTTGCACTCTGGCAGGAATATTTTCCCCAAGATCTGAGGATGGAACATCTCCATGGCAAAGAACGCTGGGCTCAGCATCACTTCAGAAAAAAATCTGGAAAAATAAAATGCACTTAAGCTCTTTGCATTATAGTAGCATATTTGTAATCAGTGGTAGGAATACTTCCCTGTGAGAATAAACTATCAGGACACTCACCTGGAAAAGTGGGCCCATGCTTCTCTTTTATAATGTTGGTAAAGTTAGGAGGCCAATATAAAGAGGTATGTGGGATGGAACCAGTCATGAAATCCTAGCTGGAGATGACACCTGCATAATATTTGACTAATCTGAGTGCGTTCCCAGGTTTTATGGGTGTAAAGCACTGAGGACTTGAGACACCTACTGTACATGCTCCTTGCATGTTCAGCATCATAATCATCAGTCCGTCCTCATGAAACACTCAGTAACTCTCCTAAATGAAGGAAAACACTTGAAAGGGGAGGGAAATAAAAGAGCCTTGCCATCCTCACAGAGATCTCCTTACCATGTACCAGTGTGCCACTTTCAGCTCCAGATCTGCGCTTCCCTGGCCCTATCAATGAGGCTGGGTCTTTCGGTGAACACTGTTACTCCTGACCAGTGCTTTGTCAGCAGAGAAGACCAGCAGCCAGCCATGGGGGAATGTGGGAATATGCTCCCCAAGTCTTGCCTCACAAACACATTACCTCCTGCACGTTACTTCCCTGGAAGGGATTTTATTCCTGACACCTCACCACACAGAATTTCCTAGATTCTACAAAGAGCTACTGACCTGTCAGCTGCAGCTGAGGGCATTTCTTCAGATGTGGGGTCCTGACAAATGCTGATGCTCTCCTATTTCTATTCCAGTACAACCCATCACCTCAGCAGGATCTGAATCCACTTTAATGGCCACCCTGCTGAGCTGCTGGGTCCTGGTGCTGATCATCTCATGTGTGATTTTTCTGTTTTTAAAAAAATTAAATTATGTTATATTAAAAATTTTGAAAGCTGGGGTTTAGCTCAGCACCATAAGTATTTGTCTGGCAAGTACGAGGTCCTGATCTTCATCTACCATAAAAAGAAAAAAGAAAACATGTTCACAATCATTGGTCATTGGAGAAATTCAAGTTAAAACAACATTGAGTTTCCATCTCAACCCAGAAAGAAGCCCAGGATTAAGAAACAACTAATAACAAATGCTAGAGAGGCTGTGAGGAAAAAGAATTCTTCTGCCCTGTTGGTGACAGTGTGGACTGGTACTGCCACTGTGGAAATCAATGTGGAAATTTCTCAAGAAACTGGGATTGGAAGCCCATTTGTTCCAGCTATCCCACTTCTGGGCATATTCCCAGAAGAACTGAAAACATCATACCACCGTGATATATGCACACCCATGTTCATAGCAGCACAATTTGTAATAGCCAAATCTTGGAAACAACCCAAATGCTCATCAACAAAGGAATGGATAAAAAGGATGTGGTATTTTTATGTTATAGAGTACTACTAAGCTATAAAGAAGGATCACATTGAGGCTTTTATAGGGAAATGGATGGGACTTCAGATTATACTTATTAGTAAAATAAATCAACTCATATATGTAAATACCATGCTGTCTCCATGATGTAAGAAACTGAAAGAATGAATAAGATCCAAAATCTTCACTAAATATTGTGAAAAGAAACTGCTCAAAGGGGAAAAACAACTGGGACAGAGAAAAGGAGGAAAGAAGGAAGGGAAAAGAAAAATGATGTCAATTTGTGTATAAACCCTTAACTAAGATGATTGTATTATTCTATTAGTTCTAGGAACAAAACAGTTAACATTCATAGCATTAGATCAATTTTGCATGTCTATATCTGGGAATCTGAGTAACCGTTTTGAAGACAACTGTGCAACAATCTTTGTTAAGTTCCTACCACCTCATTTTGAAAGCCTATATTGTTAGTGTTGGGTTTTTTTTTATCATTGTTTGAGTCTTTGGCTTCTTGTTTTTTATGTATTTTATTTTATTTTGTTTTGGTTTTCCCCTTTAAAATAAAAAAAGAAATGTTTATTGTCTTTCCCAACAATTTATTCTCTCCCGACATTTAAATAAAGTTATTTATTTTGAAACAAATATCTCAATTAGTCTGGACTTGTATTTTATGATCTGTGTGGTACATAATTTCATGTGTCTACCTGACTGCCTGATAGGTGACAAAACAGTATTTCTAGGTATGTTTGGGAAAAATTTCCTGGAAGATCTCATTCAAATTACCAGACTGAAAGAATGCTCTCCACAATGCAGAGAAACCAGCAATCACAGAGAAACCACAAGAAAAGTAGAGCAGAGGGAATTCATTTTGCATGAGCACATGCATGCACTGGCATTCCTCACCTTGACATTGTCCTGGTATATGTCAGTGCCCCCACCCCAGATCTCACGAAATCATGGACACAGCTGAATCAAGGGTTTGTGATTGGTTCTTGCCTAGCACTCCATTTGCTGGTGTGAGTACTACATCCACTCAGGCGTGGAGCCAACATAAAGTTTAATGGGGGGAGCAGGCATGTCTTCTCTCTCACCAGTTCCTCTTTGCTCTTTTCCATGGCCCACAATACCACCCTGCCAATTGGAGCCAGCTGAATATGGGCTGGAACTTCCAAATGGAAGAAATAAAACTATCCCACCCTAACTTTGGGCCTCAGATATTTTGTCTCAACAATGAAAGAGAAAAATAACCAAGACAGACTTTGAATGTTCTCTATCCACGGCTTCCTAAATAAGACCAGAACTTACAACCTTGCGCCCTATTCTCAAGATTTTGCCAGCAGACAGGATTATACCACTGGCTTTCTTGGTTCCTAAGCCTGTAGACAACAGATTGGAAGATTCCTGTTCTGGCTATAAGGTGAAATCAGTGTGAGAACTGTGCTTTTTCCTTCACAGGAAGAGGCAGAGTGTGGACCAGGTGGAGGCTTGAGGGATGTTGAAAGGAACAGGGAGGGTGAAAAAGTCAGAGAGGTGAAGAGGCTGGAGACAAAATACACCCTCCAGAGATACACCCCATTCATGCATTTCTACCACCTGGGCTGCACCTCTCTTCCTATCATACATGCATTTCATGCAAGTCTTACCAGCTTGTACTCTGGGAAGAAGGATTCCCCTAGAAACTGAGGAGGGAACAGCTCTATGGGAAAAACCCAGGGCTCTGCATCAATTGAGGAAAAGTCTAAAAAATAAAATGCAGATGTGTTTTCCATCTTATCATCATACTTCCTATGAATGCCTAGGAATGCATTCCTCTGAGGATAAACTATCAGGACTCTCACCTGGAAAAATGGACCCATGTTTCTATTTTATACTGTGGGGCAAGTTAGATGCAGTTAGAAAGAGGTGTGTGTGGACGAACCAGTCAAGGAATATCAGCAGGAAATGACAGCTGGGTAACACTTGAGTACACTGAGTTACCAGGTTTAATGGTGTAAAGCCATGAGGAATGTGTGTTACCTACTGTAAGTGCTCAGTACATGTTTACCATCTGAATCTTCAAAGCATCCTCATGAAACACTCAGTGACTTCCCTAAATGAAGGAAAAAACTTGATGGAGGAGGGGAAAACCCAGAGCCCTGCTGTGCTCACAGAGATCTCTTACCATGTACCAGTGTGCTACTCTCAGCCCCAGACCTGCCCTTCCCTGGCCTATCAATGAGGCTGCTCTTTCTGGTGAACACTTTCCTCCTGGCCAGTGCTTTGTCAGCAGAAAAGACTACCAGCCAGCCATGGGGGAAGGTGGGAACATGCTCCCCAAGTCTTGCCTCACAAACACGCTACTTCCTGCACTTTTAGACCCTATTAAGGATTTTTATTCCTGATATCTTGCCATGAGGAGTTTCCTAGATTCTGCCAACAGCTACTGAGCTCTTCCTACTGACATCAGCTGATAAAGGACCTTAGTGACCTTTGTTTCTCACTCAGCGGCCCAGGCTGTCATCTCTCCTGGAAAGACTGATCCCAATGCCTGAGCATGGAGCTCTTCCAGACTTACTCCTCCTGAATATTCTCCCTCAACCTTGGAGACAGAGTCTGTTCCTCTTATAAGCTACCTACCAATTCCTAGAGCTCTCCTGTCCTCTCAGCATGTACTCACTAGTGTGTAGTTAATCATCTTCATATTAACTGCTACTTCTTCACATTACTATGTGGCTTGAGTCTCCTGAATGAAACTTTGTTAACATCCCCTCCAGATCACCATCCTGTGTGACCTTGGTTTGGCTTCTTAGTAACTTCCTGTGTGAATGCCCACTGCTGATCCAGACTTCACAGTCTTCTCTCAAGCTGTGTCAGCAGAAATTATCTCATATTCTCAGATTAGTGTAACATCACAAAAATGAGATCATCCAATCAGGTAAAAATTATTTGCTCTGGGGCTAGAGATGCAACTAGGCTGCACAGCACCTGCCTGGCATGTGAAGGCCCAGAGTTTGACTTCCAATAAGAAAAAATTCCTCTGCATATATAACATAATATGGGGCCTGATAAATATCTGTCTTGGGGATCTCTTAACTGATCATGAAAAACTGATTCGGGCATCTTTCCAGGATTCATATCAAGACAACTGCATTCATCTCTACAAATTCCTCAAATAGAAGCATCTCTCTTCATGAGTGGGGCATTTGCCAATACTTGGAGGCAATTTTTCTGGCCCCTCCTGGGTAGGGGGTGTGCCAACATGTCAGGTGGGTCCTGTTTGCAGCCCCAAACAGTCTGCAATCCGCAAGAAAACAGCAGCAACAAAAAACCATTTGCCCCAAATGCTGCTAAACAAGTTTTGGGAATTTGGACCAGCTGGTGCCAGTGTCCATCCTTTGGACACTTTGCCTCACTCCAGAACACACGGTCCATACACATAACAGGACTCTGACAATGGTTCAGATTTCTAGTCCACACTTGTATCACACCTTGCCAGGACGCTGGAATCAGTGAGGCGCTTCTTACCCTCATCTTCCCGCCTTGGACAGCCACATCCCCATTACTGGATTAATGTCACACTTTAAGGCTCAGATTCACCCCTCCTGGGAAAAGCTAAAATTTTTTTCTGTAGCACATCACAATTTGGTTCTTCCTCACAAAAAGAATGTACTGCAAATTCATCAGCATTAGAGGGCATAATCCTAACAAAAAATATCTTCAAGATCAGGCTTGAATCCATTCTGAAGGCAGCCCATTGCTTTTAGGTCACACTGGCAGGAGAGAGGTCAAGGAAGAGAGAACAGGAGACAGAGACAGACAGACAGACAGACAGACAGACAGACAGACAGACAGAGAGAATCCTGTAATGCCCTTAAATAACTTTAAATGCTCCAGGATCAAAATGAGACTTCACTTTTGTTTGCCATCTCTCTGTTAGAACCAGTCCAATGGGATGCCTGACTACAGGGTTCTGAGAAGTAGGAGGGATCAGACATACTTGATGAACCACAAATATCTTCGCCATAGCCTAGGAATTAGATGTTAAGAGGCCTGGGTGCTGGTGCACTCCTGTAATCCCAGCACTCCAGAGCCCGAGGCAGGAGTATCCTGGGAGCAGAACCTGAGTGTTCATGTGTTCAGTGCTTCTGCCAGCAGAGCAAGGCCATTGGACACTCCTGCGGGCTGTGAAAAGACACCTAGAGCATTCAGCACTCCTGAGAGCGCGACTCAGGTTCTTTTGAAGCCACCAACTCTTGGTTCAAGGAAGGTGTGAAGACAAACCTGCCCAAAGTCAGGCAGAGGTGGGATGCGGGAGCAGGAAGAGGGAGACAGGAGCGGCGGGCTGGTGCCCTGCCATGCTGCCACCCAGCAGCTGGACAAAAGTGACAGCGCCTACCTCCAGGATCCTGCCCAGGAACCCTGGAACGGTGCGGGGCTGGGGAGCTCGCGGAGAGGACCCGAGGAAGCCCTGAGTCCCCACCCAGGAGTCCCCTGATCCTCTGCAACTTCCAGCAGGCTCAGGGGGAGTATCAGCAGGTGGCACCGCGGGTCCCAACCCTGCTTTGAGGGCTCCACCTGGCGACCCCTCTGCCTTCCCTATTCCCACAGGACCCATGGACCCAGCTGCGATGTCTGATTTCCTCCTCGCGGTCCTGGCCGCGAAACTGTACTGTACAGGCTTTAAAACAGTGAAGTTTTCAAAGCTAGAGTTGGGATGCAGGTTCAAAGAGAAAAGCACAAAGAAAAGAAAGCCAATAGTGGGGGCTGGCAGTGCCCTCACAATCATACTGAGCTGTATCTACACACACGTCCTTCCTTGAAAGTGCTTGTTTAAGTTGCCCAGGCTGGGGCCCAATCTGCAGTGCTCCAGGCTCGGCCTCCCCATGTGCACCCCCATAGCAAACTGACACCAAAAATGTAAATAGAATACTAAACATTTTGCAATAATTTATGAACCAAGCACATAGTATTCTAGAGGCTTAGCTATCAACACACTTACAATAAACTAGCTTCAGCTGAAGGCATTATCTATATACATACAAATGGATACATATATGTGAAAATTCTTTACATGCTAGATATTTTAGCAAATTGCATGTTTAGAGATAATCAATTTAGATTACAAGATTAGGAAACTACAAATTGAAGTTCATATGCTAAGCATAGATGTTTTAAAAAGATCAGTGATTATAAAGAGTACTGCTAGATAAATCAAAGTTAACAGGACAAAGGTTACAAAAACATTGCAGAATCTTTATTAATAACAAAATACTGGAATTTGCTTGAAATGATTCCACTCCTAGGGGAAAGAAAAAGAATTAGGATGTGTTATGTACATGTACCAACTCTCCTCATTATGAATATAATCAGTGTATACTTCCATGACATACTAGTGAAACAGAACCATTTAAAAATAAATAATATTCTCTTCTAAAGGGTATCAAAGTTTATTCATGTAACTTTCTAATACTAAGTATTAAGTATCATTGAGTGCATAGTGCTTAAGTACAGGTAGATGTCAGGGATTTAGGGGCTCACCCATGCTGTCCTTGTTCTGTTGCAAAAACACAAACATCTCAGGATTTCCTATGGAGAAAATGCTACTACACTGCGTCTTCAGTAGGATGGGCAATCATCAAAGATGCACCCCTCAGCTAGCCCAAGTAACAAACACACCACACACACACACACACACACA